ACACTTGAGTGTGTTCAGATCTCATGACAAAGATGTGGGGGCGGGGCACAATATGAGATGAGGTCATGATGGGAGCGTGGCGATGATGCAATGTAAAGTATGCTGTTTACATGGCCTTAACCCTTTAAAACTGAAGTCCATCATACCATAAATATTGTGGCTACAGAGACCATTAAACGCCTTACAGTCAGAATAGCATCCACATGCAAGTGCAACCTCTATATGGCTGTCAAATGAAATCTACAGAACAACATCCAAGCAATCAGACACTTTAGTGAGTGCAAGCTTACCAGATCATCACGTCATTTTCTATACCACCCCGTTGTCCTGTGGTGCATGTATCACTGTAATCACATTACAGGTTCTATATAGCAGGGTGATACTTAACAAAGGAAATTCCACTATGACAAAATTTTCCTCAGTACTTTGACTAAATTATTAGTTTAAACACTATTTAACTGTAATGCAGTGTAACAGACCAACAACTGACATTTAATCTGTATCCCAAAATTGCCATACCCAACATCCCAGTATCTTGTCAAACATCATACTTGTATTATTGCAGTGTTGTACTAATATTACATGAACATAGTTGCCATTGCTGAGAAATATTAAACTTTCAGCAAGTGATGTGCTCTGTATGCCTCTGTGTTGCAACAGAAGAAATGTCAGTCACTGAGGACTTTCCGGACATGAATGGAGTAGATTTTTTAGGGCTGCTGTTCCATGATGGACAAGACGGATCTGCTGAGCCCCTCTTTCCTGACGAGAACGGGCTCATCGAATCCTGGCTGTCTGAACAAGATGTAAGGCTGCAGTCACAGAAGAGAAACAAATAGGATGATGTTGGTTAGATGTGTCCAATACAGTATTTAGCCATATTATTTTTGAACTCTGTGTACATTTCTGAAATGGGTTCCCCGTAATGTGGTCTCATGCCAAACCTTTAACTGTAATAGCAAATGTCCAGAGTTTGTAAATATTAACATAAAATCTTTAAGTCTACATATCAGATAAACCACACAATCATGGAATAGTTAAAGGTTTAACACTGTCGTTTGTCTCCCAGATGCTCACAGGTATGGATACTGAAGACTTTCTGTCCAGCTTGTTAGAGGAAGAGGACAACATGGGGGCTATCTGTCCCTCTCATTCTCCTTTGGGCAGTGACAGTGGCATTTCTGATGACAGCAGCACTGGGGTTGGAAACAGCAATCTTCAGGGATGCCAGAGTCCCCGTGGCAGTGAAAGCGATACTTTGCCCAGCCCCAGTTATTCTCAACCCAGCCCGGTGGAGTCGGACCCTGCCCTGGCCTCTGGAGAGTTGCACACAGAGAGCCTGGAAGCCTTGACAGTGCATGCAGATCACAGCTACTCTCTGCTGCAGAGTGAAGGAGACATGGATATCCTGCAGAGTGTGAGGGCAGAGAAGCCAGATACAGATGTTTTCATTGATCTTGGTATGTGTAGTCTAAGCACTCCCAAATATTTTCCAAACATACCTACTTAAATCCTGCAAATAGTTCTGAGTTTGTGTGGGATGCAGTGATAAGTTGGGACACTTGATTTGCTTAGCACATCAGAAAATATTTTAAATGTATATTTTTCTTGTGACAGAAGACCTGGTGAGTGAGGCAATGGAGGAAGACATCATCAGCGAGCTGCCTTGCACTTTGGCCATAGAGGACTCAACACAGGAGTCAGCACAACTCGGCACAACAGACGAGGTCAGATTCTTTCGCTGTTTTAACCAGACCAAAGAGAGCGCTTCACATAGTTGAGCGAGGACCCAGAGTTGTAGTAAATAATCTAGTATTATCCGAGGATTGATAAGATTGTTTGTGATGCATGCTTCAAATGTGACAATTATATGCTCTGCTGAAAACAAAAATGAAGAAAATTGTGTTTTCCCCCCTCCAGTTTCAGTTTAAAGAGATTGTGCTAAATGAGGAGGAGAAGCGGCTTTTGGCGAAAGAGGGAGTAACCATTCCAACACACATGCCTCTCACAAAGGTAATTGATACAGTTAATGTCTGTATTTACTTGAGCTGTTGATGTCTAAATTATAAACACTGAGCAGCATTGTAAGTTTCACTGGATTGAAGTGTCTGCAAAATACTACAAAAGTAAATACAATAATGAGCTTAATTAAAAAAAACATTCTTCTATTGTTAAATTCATTTTTGCATTGATTTCTGTGTGATAATTTTGAATAGCTTTAGCTTTTTGAATGTTTGGCCTTGTAATGGGTTTGTCTTATGTCTTTGTATGACAGTTATTTACTGCTTTTGCCATCAAACCCTGCTTTTTCTGAATGAATATTCAAAATTGATTTTCTGTTTGGTCTTTCTGTAGCACAGCTGCTCAAGGCTGTTTAAACATGTCATCTGTCATGTCACCATTGTGGTGAAAGCCTCCTTTCTGTGTGACAGGCAGAGGAGAGGACCTTGAAGCGGATCAGGAGGAAGATACGCAACAAACAGTCTGCTCAGGAAAGCCGCAAGAAGAAGAAGGTGTATGTTGATGGACTGGAAAACAGGTGAGATGAAGAGGCCAAAATGAATTCTCTATATTTCATTCTTTTAACATGGATATGGAATTTCAAGCAAGTCAAGCTCAAGAACTCGCACTGCAGGAAGATGAAGACTGAAGCAATGGTTTTGCTTGCTGAATTCCATGTGACTAGTTGTTCTAGCAATGATTTACTCTGTCTATAGTTTTTATGGTTTGTCAAACATTCCATGTACATTTGGATGAATATAATGATTGCTAAATTACTGTCTACCACAGGGTTGCCGTCTGTACTGCACACAACCTGGAACTACAGAAGAAAGTCCATATGCTTCAGAAGCAGAACATGTAAGAACTGATGCATTGCTTCCTCATTAATATGTAATAACATGCATCTCTGAAGCATTTCAGACTCTGTTGACATCTGTTAAATGTGTCCTCTTGGTTCTTACAGGTCCTTGATAGAGCAGCTGAGAAAACTACAGTCTATTGTGAAGATGTCAACTATGAAGGCCAGTGCAACCAGCACTTGTGTTATGGTAACCTGTTGACTATATTGATGTTTTTTCCTTTAGATCATTCTCTTAAGTGTCAAGTGTGTTATCATGTTGTAAATGTTACTCACTTTCGTCTTGTGGTTTCCATCCAGGTGTTCCTGCTCTCTTTCTGTCTCATCATCTTCCCATCAGTCAATCCATTTGGAAGAAACACAGAGGAGAAGGAACTCTACACACCCTCACCGGGTAAGTTATCTCAAATAAAAAAACAGTGTTGCATTGTTACTCAACCTTTCTTGCCATGTATTTTTTATACCCACAGTTTGGTGGATTTTCTTTCTATTTTTTTTTTTT